TTAGATAACCGTGTCTGCGATATGAGGTGCCATTGAGATTACAATGTAAGGTCGGGGTCTCGGATACAAGCTCTCTTTCAAAAGCACTACCAAGCTGAGAGCTACAAATTCCACAGAGCTACACAGACTTCTAACCCATCTCAATTCTGTAATTCTATGCACAACGATGAGTAACTCCTGTATTGAAATACAAATTCGGATAAAATAGACTAGTTGCGAGTTTAACGGGTGCTTGTTCCGCAACGGAACCAAACTGAAATGCAACTACCATAGAACCGTTATAGTACCGATTTTCTGGAAACCAATAATTGGAGTTAATTCGGACGAGAACCTTCGTGTGTGTTGCAATAATGTAACAGCGTGTCGATTCCTCGTAACTGCGTTCGAAAGAAGCTTTATGTAAGTTACTAATAACTATCCCTGAAACTGCATAATTACTTCCTCAGCGATCTGCCACACTCGTGTTCACTCGAGAACAGCTGTCCTGCCTGTCTTTATTCAACACTGAACCTATCACTATCGGTCAGAAATGATCGGTAGATGGAGAAACGAATTTATCCATCATCATTATACCGCTCTAATTATGATTATTCATGTACATATATTAAACCGGTTTATATCTGACGACAAAGAAAAATTCTCCGCTCGAAGTTCTAAAAATTGAACGAAACTCGCACGTTGGACATTCTTTGATGAACTTTCCTTGGGAAGGAAATTGGAATTTATATTTACAGCGACCGTGGTAAATCATTCAACAGTTTCACGTCCGTGCGGACGTTTGTATTATGACCACGAATTCGGCGTCCCGTTTCACTCTAACATCACCAAGCAAATACAACGGATGTGTGTCAAAAGAGTCGAGGACTCGGGCCAACAAAATCATAATAGACCGTCACGCGCCACGGTGCACCGTCCGAAATACGTTACAAGATCAGACGGTACCACCTAAACCTTGTGTATTATTTTCGTCGACCAACAGGCACCTTTCGAAGCCGTTATTTCCCCGAGACCTTACTCGATGTCCCCCCTTCCGCGCTTTCACGCAGTTCTATTCCGGACTCCGCTTTTCCAACCGCATTCTAAGGTAATTACGTCGTTAACCCTTCTTATAGCCGAGGAATCACGGTCTCGTCGTCTAGACCAGGTAGAAGACGCGGTAAAAGGCCAAAAGACCCCCAAGACGGAGGTTAGCGAAGCTCTTGCGAGCCAAAATGGCCACGAGGACCTTCCCGAAGGCTTTGACTATCGCACGTGTGCACTGTTTACATTCGGAAGTACGGGTTTCACCGGTGGCTCCTCCATTTTTGCGTAAACAAGCAACGAAATGGCTGCGAACAATCCTCAAACAGACCACTCATGTTTCACGCATGTTTTGTCGTATATCGAGCCAGTTCTTCGTGTCGCGTTTGTTTGGTACGAGTTCGTGCGGATTGTTAAAAATAAAATGCCTGAAGACGTTTTCTTACAGTCGATTTGTCACAATTTTGAACACTGGCGATATCTGAACGTGTACATTAACCGAGCACATTCCGATAATTCCTCGTACTTGCCATCCGATGATGAGTAGAATAAGGATTTGAAAGAAAAGTACGAGGCGAAGACGGGGAAGCCTAGACGACAGCCAATAACACGTTTTATCCTAAAGACGTTATAGTCTCGGCGTCGGTAGGACGGTTTATGACATGGACTTTCTATTGCTACAGGTACCAAAGGGAGAGAGTGGTAACAGATGTTCTTAGAGTTCTCATAGAAAATAAAAATTAGTATATCAACCCCTTGTACGCAGTGACGAGCCCGAAGAGCTCAGCATGAGTGTCCACGATGACACAAGATGAGTGACACTCTGCACGCTAATGACGAAATTATACCTAACACGTTGCTCCGTTTTATAGTCTTGAAAGCTGATAAAAGATATGTAAAACGAGGAACGCTTACATGATAATAAGCAGCCATAAATTAAAATAAAAATGTTGAACATAAATTAAAAGAGAGGCAACAAACATCAACACGAAAATCGAACAAACCCTCATCTGGTTTATCAGGAAATAAGCTAAAATTAGAAAACAAAATCTAACGCGTTTTAATATAAATAAAATTCGTGTTGCAAAAATGGGAATCATTTGGAATAATTAAAATTATTTTACTTAACCCAACTCGAACGAGGTTTAACAGAAAGAACTCACGAGTTAGACCCGTTATTGCAGTACCTAGGGTTAAACCATGTTTTCTTGTTCATTCATTATGTAGAAAATTATGCAGGTGCACGAGTCGCAGGAACCATTTTGTATAGCTACTACACGCAACAGACTTCATATTGTAAGCAACTTCGTTCGTTATACGAAATTATTTACAAAATGATTTTAAAAATTCACTCGGATTCTTTCCTGTGCCTAAAATATTCCCAAGTAACGTTTACATTCACGAATTTTTGCCCCGAAGGCCACCGGCCACGTGGCCAATTTCACTGGCGTGGTATCGATCTAAATCCGCCTTAACGCACGTTCTGGGAATACCGAATGATTTGTCGCAATCGTTTCGTTACGCGCGTCGAATGTGAGCCGCGAATAAACGTGCCATTTATTATTTCCCATTGCCCGCCACGCGAAATGGAACGGGTGCTTTATGACGGCTACGCCACTGGCCAGCGGCGGCTCTAGACGCGCACCGGGCATCGGAATAGAAAGGTCTTAAATAATTTTCAAAGGGAGAACTGTGCTTTAAGCGATTTCTACCCCTATTACGACTGGATAACGCGGGCATAAATCCTTTGGTAAATTACGTCCCGGGATCCCGTATTTCAAATTTCGAATTTTTCGTGGAGCTTCTCTATTTTTTATCCTGTCGACGACAATGCGTTAACGTGATTTTATGCACTTCTCTCGCCAAAATTATGTAAACTCGTGAATATTCGTGACTGTTTTTAAATATTTACTTTTCGGAATTTTTACCACGATTAGATGGCATTAAGATTATTTAAAGTCCGCGATAAAGAGATTTGGAGATTTTTGTGAAATAATTCGGTGTTCGCGGAGTTAATTACGTAGAATTATTTATTTTATTTTTATTATCAAAATTCGAGAATTTGAGGCTTCAAGAAAACTTTTTAAATTTGAAAATTTCGAAAGTCCTTTATTTCTATAAAAATTCACATAAGGGAGCCGGCCATTGACCACAAACTATTGTATTATTGACGCCATTTTACGATAATCGATGGTTGCCTAGCAACCCTGATAAGAAAGAAAATTTCAAACATTTTTAGTTACTGCTGAGAACTCACTTAATATAATTCCTGATTTTTCGTATTTCCAGAAAAAAATGAATGCATATATTCATGATGTACACATACTTATACCATGGAAAAAACCAACTTCGGAAATGCACTCTGGATGTACAACAATCAAGGTTAGATTACAACATTTTTATTTTATTTTATTTTATTTTACATATTTCCTCATTTTTTTTTTGTTATTTATCGTGATTCCTATATTGCGTAGAGTTAATGGAAAAACGTTCACGAATATTTGTTTCGACACAAGAATTCTAGAACTCTAGCAAGAATTTAAAAAATAAGAAATGTTGGATTATCCAATAAGCTATCGGCTACGAGACTAGTATTGATCTGATGTCTTCATGGAGTCGACGTACCATGCATAACTAATAGGTTAAATCAACTAAAATTTCCCATACAATATTTTATTTCAGCGAGAAATGTATAACGCTTAATTCAACGATTCAAATCTACATATATACGATAAAACGTACGAATGGAATTTCTTAATATCGCAAGAATGTACTTAGCAACCAACTGTGGATTAATTATGAACGAATTGTTTAGCTAATGAAGGCTAACGAAGAATTTGGAATAGAATCTAGTTTTGTAACCACGAAACGAGTCACTGTACCATTATGTCGTATATACATAATATATACGTGTTAATATATACGTAAATTCCGCGTGAGCACCGCTGTATAGGTTAACCAACCGTAATATGGCTCGCTTCGTCGTCCGAAAATGTCTAAATGTACGAAAATATAACAAGAAAACGCGTATCTCCGATAAAATTTTAAGGTTAGAATAATGAAAAATGCTTGCACTTTCAACGGTCTAATTCAAAATATGTATATTCAAATTCAACCACCGGTTTCGTTAATAGTACGTTAACCATTTTATCTATACTTTCTGTATATGTTTATATACGTTGTACAATTATACAGTCTCCGCGTTATATTGCGGTAAACGTAGGTAAATTTTTCGTCAAAATAAATACTACACACGTTTGTTTGAAGATACGTTTCACGCAGAGAGAAAAAAATATAATAGGAATCCCAGCTATAGTTATGCACACGTGCACACGTATATCAGAGCGTCGACTGGACGTCAGCGCATGTCACGCTTCAAAGTTTGAAAAACAAGCAAAAGAGCGGCATCTCGATGTTTTTCGACGCAGTCTTTCGTAGAAAATACGTTTCATAACGTGAATGCCTGCTAACAATCGCTCTCTCCGTCTCACAAAAAACAGCGTGTAAACGGCGTATAGAGCATTTTCTTGTAACCGACCGTATCGAAGATACCAGAACCAATCGAATCTCGAAAACGGTTAGTTGTACACCGGTATACACGTCGTTGTTGATCGTGCTTCTAGCTAATAGCTTTAAATAATTACAGTACACGCTTTGTCAGATAATGTATCAATTAATAATCCGTAAATCTTGAGCAATAAATATTTCGTAATCGTCGGTGTCATTAAACAATTGCAACAGTCAACGGTCGAATTGAGTATCGATAAAAACTAAAATGGCCACAGAATTAGTCACCGATATGTATAACAAAATACGATAAAACGGTACATTTTAATAAATGTACATAATAGTTTGCATATCTTGCATGTAGACGGATTTCTAACACGATATTCACAGGGTCTTTCAAAGTCAAAGGAACCCCTTATCCAACGAGCATGCAAAGATCGATGGGAAAAAGAAAAATCGAAATGTTTACATACCCTTGTTCGAAATCGATACGTGTCGAGCCGTTCCTAGGAGCAGCGTGGCCGTCTGGCCTCGATCAGCCAAAAAAAAGACGATTTGAACGGTTTGCCGGTAATTTCTTTGTTGCTTCTAACCACTCGATCGTACAGTCATTGTTTTCAGGCGACACCGCGTTGCCAGGAGAGCCAATAGAAGCTGTGTGTAACAACTTTTTTTCAAGCGGTACACACACGTTTACGAGACGAACGCACGACTATCGTGTTCGCGAAAGCACCGTCACTGACAGACTGTTCGGAACTGCTCGGTTCGAGCCTCTCTGGACATCGTTTATGACTTCCCTGGGGAAACGTTACTCGGTCTTTCTTTAACACGACGACCGGTGGACGCGGTGGAACGAGAAGAGGGATAGAGGGTAAGAAAAGGAAAGAACGAAACGGAATCAAATTTCTACGCCAACCAATCGCGGCCCTGCATTGTCTATCGCGCGAAAACCGCCGAACTGGTATGGTTTAAAGCCTGTTACGCAGTCCTGTGAACCTGTGTCTCTACACGGGGTGATTCTCGCAACTGGAACCAGTTACTATTTATTATTTAATCCAGTTTACTTCACATCGTTACAGGAAAATATATCGCAATAAGTATAGGATTACCGTAATTCCATTTGTGAATTGAATTTAACGATTTTTCTGTTAATATGTATTAGTTATATAGATGGCCGAATGCGTCCGGCATGGCGAATGTGACAGTGCAATCGTAAAGAGTGAAACTTTGAGGAAAAGTAATTTAAAATTTCGAAAGTGAAAATTAATCGATTTCACAATATCGACTCGAAAAATATCGTAAGTTAAATTCACAGATTATCTTTTCGTGCATGAAATACGAAACATATTCAAGCACATGAACACCTACCTCTTGTTTGTGATTTTCAGCGTTGGAAATAAGGAATGACAGTTACCGTTAGTCGTAAAATACTTCGAACATTGATCTAATTTACGAGGTGAGATATTTAAAATATTTTTTTTTACGAATGAATTAACGTGTAAACATCACAATTGATGTTCCAGAAAATTTATATAGGTGCATATATAGCTGGCAGATTACGTATCCTGACAGGTGGTTATGCATGCATTTAAATGCAAATGACAGTAAACTAAAATGTACAAGATAGTTGCGAAAAATGGTTCATGCTTAATCAATTAACAGTAAAAATGTAAATATACGCATGACAAACAATAAAGGAAATAATTATTGGACAAAAATTACCCAATTCTTTTCCTTACATAAATATTTTTCGTTAAGATGCATAAATTTAAATAAAATTTCAATGAAATTTCAATGAAATTTCAATAATAACGAAAGATGGCAGCAGCGTTTAATATTTATTAGAATCAAGTTACCCGACTATATTCACGGCTATATGCACTATAGCTTTTTAACGCGCATGCGGAGAAAGGAGTATAGCGAGGAAACGTAAAACAGTCTGGCTCGTTGCAAAAAATGTACATTACGTTTATTGATGGTAGCTCGCGAAGCTCCTCGTGAATATCGAGTGGATTACAAAGAGGCGCTTGGTTTAAAGGGTCGGTAATTTACGATGCAACACGTGATACGATGCACAACAGTCCCGCGAGGACTCGAATCGTGTGCCACTCGTTTGTTGCTCTCTTTCATACCATTCTTTTTTTTTTTTTTTTTTTTTTTTTTTCATTTTTCTTATTCGAAACAAGGATAAAGTCCGCTACGGACTATAGAAATTACTATGATGTTCCTATAGTTTCTGTGGTTCGATTTCTCGCGTTTGTCCTTTCTTTGTTTCATCCCTCCGATCGAAGAAACAAGGAGGGATAGATACGGGCTGGTATTGGAAAAGGGAGATGGATACACGAAATATTAATATTTTCGTCCGACTGATACAGGCAAAATGCTACGGCTTGGTAAGGACAGCAACCGTTTATATTATTACTCTGTGGTAATATTTTTGTATATATATATGTATATATATATATATACTTCAACGTACAAACTATATTGTACCTTAATAACCTCTAAACGCAATGGGTACAAGAGCAGTATTTACACAGCCTATGACCATTTTACACGGTCCAGGATTACGCGATACCGTTTCTTCAAAGAGGTCCTGGATTTCACAATCGGCCTCTTTGTTTTGAATCGAACGTGATAATACGCGATCGTTAACGACGTGACAAGTATCTTCACGTTCCTATCAACTAGTTATCAACATTTATACATAATACAACCAGGTTCCTCGCACGCACGCACTCTCAGCCCCACTCGTAGGATTGCGTAACGTTTTCTCCCTTTTCGTTCGATCCTCCGATAACCCCATTTGCATGGTCCGTGGATTCGTGTGTATGTGCATATCAAACAAATTACCGCGCAAATCTACCACGGTACATACTCGTCAATGAAAATACTTTCTCGATAATGAAACTTTCGTGAAAACACTCAATCGCTCTCTTTCTCTCACTCATATGTTGTAGCTCGGTAAAAACACTCTGAAGACTTACAGATGGTTAAATAGACATTACACAGTAAACGAACGTGAACCAGTCAAGTGAGAAAAATACGATTTCGGTTTTGTACTTGGAAATCATACGAACACATTTCGTACATACGTAGTGTAACAAAAGAAAGGAAGAGGTTAGAAAATATTCTTGATATTTTGCGATTATTTTTACTTCTACGTAATAAATAAGAAAACGGGGCTCTTTTTTTTTTAGTCAAACTTGATAAAAATTTCCTGACGCTGCACATTCCTACCGTGATCGGGGTGCACCGCTGTGTTTCCGGATCTTTTACGCACAAAGAAACGCTTTTGAAGCGCGCAGCCTCGTGTTCGCGGACGTGTGTACGTTTCTACACAGTTTAACTTTCCGTGAATCTCACCGGTCAGCTACTATTTAAATAAAATACCGGTGAACTGATATACAATCATGTAGAGTGGCAACGCGCAGTTCGTTATTCTTATCACGGCCGTTCCTTCGTGCGTAAAAGTGCTAAAGGACGCAAGGTGACATGGCACGATACCTTAACCATTAAAAAAAAAAAAAAAAAAAGAAAAAAAAGAGGATAGAAGAGAAAACGGATCAATAGAACCGTGCTTAAAACCCTTTACACTTGAAACGTTTTACATTTTTCTTCCGTTGTGGATGCTTAACAATCTTTTATTCGTCGGCGATCGACGCAGTGAACTCGAAACGATTTCGTATCACTCGGGAGACTAAAATACACAAAGGAAACGAAAATACGATCGATGTGTTTGTGCACGTTATACCGTTAAACGAACATCAAAATTGTATTTGCAACTGTTTGAGAACAGCAACTGTTAGAAATGTAAGACGTGTCGAAGAAAAGGATCCTAATTCGCCTGTTTCTATACGTATTTACATGACGCCTGTAAATGGACGCCCGGAATCTGGGATAATTAATTATTATAATCTGCGAATTACGCGTGTCATGCTAACGAGGCTGTCGTCGATGATTGCAATCGTTCGCCGATAGAGTGGTCTCCGATCGTTAAGGCTCGTATTCAACTCGACTACCAACTTCGTATTTACTATAAACACGCCTTGTGCGATAAATTCTTTGTTCAGACTCATACAACGTAAATCATTTACGTTCGATGACTTAGAAATTAACCATTTCTTTTCTATGTAATTCAATCGCAATATAAGAATATGATTCTTATAACAAAATATTAATTTCTTTAAGAATACAGCTTGATCATATTTTACGCATCAAACTTCGTACTGTTAGAAAAATTGTTTATACCATTGGCAACACAGTTCAAGTTTCTCGTAACAATTAAACACAATCGAGGTCTCGAAAAAATTGCGTTACACTGCATTTTTACGGTAAGAAATAAAAGATAAGATTATGATATGTAGAATAACAACGATACGTGTGTATATCTTTATACGAAGTTTAATACGAGCTTCCTAACGACGCAAGGAAATTGACAAGTCTGCTTCGTTTAAATTGCAACGCGTTTCTCGCAACAATCGGTACACGATACCCTTTGGGCAATGCATGCCTCGTAGTCGTATGCCATTACATTAAAATAAGAATATAAAATTATAAAACTATCAACAAATGTACACATCAGTAGAAAACGTCTCAAAAATAATAAAACTCCAAGGAAACGAGGAAGGACATGATCGACTTTCGGGTCTGAATCGGTATTCTTCTGATCCTTTTGCTCTCAACCTTTGCAATGTTTTGTTCGTACACGTAGATCTGTGCTTGTAAGTAGCCAACGATAATCTATACGTTGCCAAAGTTTAATCGTTGTCATTCGAACTCGTTCGTCTTCTCGAAATCAACGTTTTCAGATCGTACGAGATGTAGTCAGACTTTCAGTTATGTTTCTAAATGAAAATTTCAATTAACGATTAAAACAAAACGTACAATTCGTAAAGCTTAAAACAAATATCCTAATATTTAGTAACGCATAATTAAGATCGACGAAAATAAAACTAGAACGTATCATCTTGCATAATTCTAACCCGAAAGTCGACTACAGTGACAGTATTGTTGATCTACGTAGATTGAGCTTTGGTCAACAAGACCAATTTCACAAAGAGAACGCGTTTGTGCATTAAAAAGGTATGAAGAAAAGGAGAAAAGTTAGTATAAATTTTTGGCGCATATGTTCACCGATATTTATAGTTCGAGGGTAACTTTTCCATATTGACTAAAGTCAAAAATTGCAAAGTGAGACGTATCGACACTAGCTACTTCGACTGCACTTTTACTCGAATCTTTTGTGCTACCATTGCTTTTGTTTTCAAATGTTATCCAAAAGGAGTTATTCCTAAATAGCTTCTTTTGATATTACCATCTGTCACAAATGACCTAAAACCCTGAGATACGAATTTGCCTTAATGTCATCTTAGTCGTGTTTTCTTTTTTATGGAAAAATTGGCCATGTGATCGGGTTTTTTGGATGGTTTTCAAAGTGTACCCTCCCAGCACGCAATAAATCATCTAACTTGACAAAGTTTAAAATACGCGTATACGTTGCTTTTTCGCGTAACGAAAATAAAGTAAACGTATAACGGACGTTTGTGTGAAAAGAAAATACGGTCTTCGAAGAAATATAACACTGTGTTCCAGGATTATTGCGTGCTGCAGAATATAATAAAAATACTCTAACGTATAAAAGTGCGGTGTTGTGCGCAACGCAGCTAAATATGATCAAAGTCCGTACCGATCTGAAACCACTCGGTCATGTTTCCAAATCGATTTACATCAAAATCGTTGTACGATACCAATAACGTAGAAACTGTTCGGAACGAAATTGAATAAAATTAGAAAGTCAGAGCGATAGCGAACTGTATATGCCTCTCAGCAACAATATATTAGAAAAATGTCGACAGTTAAAATTTGTTACGTTACAATAGTATGATTACGTTAGCTAATCGTTACTTTTAGTAAAAAATCGTTAAGCTACACGAGTCTACGATAAAGTGTATCAAATTCTTTTACTTCTTCTAATAGACATCAGATATTGTTGTATATACCTGTACGTAGTTTGCGGAATAATTGTCCACTTTTTAATAGATTCCTCGATGAAACTCGCCTGTTAAAGTTATGTCTTTGTCTAAAATAACTTCTTCGATTTTCCTCTTGTAAAAAAGCTCACTACCGTTCTGATGTCATTGATAAATAATGAATGGTACTATCCGTCACTTTAACATTCAGGTAATACAATGTATAAAAGCACGATTTTTGCGAAAACAGCTGAGTCATGTCTGAGCTGTACATACTTATCCGTGGCAGTCTGAAGTTCGAAGATGTTCAAGTTTACCTTTGCGCAATTTTCTTTTTCTTTTTTTCTTCTTTTTCTTCGCTGAGGGTTGAGAATCGTTGATACTATACGTACAATTACGTAACTCGTGTCGACCTTCTAAACGATATATAATGTTTTTATCGTATCGTTCCAAGGTTTTTCATCGTTTTAGGTAGAATTCTTCGTTCGTGTCTTTCCATGAATCAGTTCTTTGTGAAAATTTCATTATATAGCGATTCTTTTATATCGTCCCTGTCTCTCGATTACATGTCTAATGGTTGTTCGTACTAACTACTTCTAACGCGGAAAGCAATACTTTCTGCCATTTGTGGTAAGTGTTGGTAACCGAGCGGTTGGAAATTTCAAAGTTCGACAACCTTTCTTACTCCTCTTAATACATTAACGAGATAAAAAATTCGAATATATGCGTTCTTCTTTTAAAAGAAGAATATAAATTGTTTAGGGACGACGTTCGCTTTAAAAATACGTTAAGTCCACGTAATATATTCCAACTCCTCCGCAAAGAGATCGTTTTCCTTGAGAAAGGATAAAAATTTGAAATGCAGCTTGTGCCTTCAAGTCGAAAGTACCTATACGTCGACATTCGAGTAGAGACATGACTGGAAAGTACGATACCAGTCTCCTGTTGTTCAGTGTGTAATACATTTTCTACGTCTTCCGATATCGTTCACATATTATACGCCACATAAATCGGGTCAAGTTGGTCTGCTAAGAAACCGTCACGCAAGTGCATTCGTTGCTTTTCGCCACGTGAATTTATTGGAACTACTCCGGGATCCACTACGACCACCACACCGACTACCAGATGGTGTTCTTCTAAAACAGCGCTGGTAACCAATGCCACGAGATCTAAGGCTTCGCTTTCACTTCCATCAAGCTCCACCACTACTACTAGGAGGTTGGTCCATGTAAATACGGCACTGTGAATTTTGATAAACATCATTATTACAATCGAAACAAGATCTACGTCTGAAATATACTATTTCGTCTTTCTCCCAGTCGTTACGATTATTCACGAGTTTCGCTCCACGCGTTTATGTTTATTACTTACCATTCTGCTATTTTCTTATGACACCTCATCACGCTATTCTCAATATCGATCGGGTGATATCGCATTCCTCTAAGTAAAATAGCTTCATCGAGCGCGCCAACTACGAATACGGCATCGTGTAATTCAGAGTCGCCAGGAACGAGATCCGCTTCAGCAGAAGTGTCACCGGGAATGTCACTGATAACCGATTGTTGAACGCTTTCGGTACGTCTCAAGAAACCGAGATAACCAGTTCTAGCGTAAACCTCATTCGTGTTTCCTGTTACGAGGCGTGCGTTGAAGTGATCCGCGTAGTCGCTCTCATCGCCGTATATCGTGAAATAACCGCTGGCATTGTGAGCAGATTGCACCCAAATTTCACCTAAATGAGAATCTCCGCATTGTCCTTTCGTCTCCGGATTGGCAATGATCACTTTCACTCCAGGCAGTAATTTGCCTGACTCCATCAGGCACAAAGAGTGTGGACTACCTCTTTCGACTAAAGATACTCGGTCATTGCGCAACGCGCGGAGATCAACGTATACCGTAGAAGGCTCTGGACTCGATGCACCCTGTTTCCAGAATAATATTTAGCATAAGATAACAACATTTTTACAACTCGTCAGATTTAAAGTGAGATTAGAATTTCAAGTTATATCTTTAAGGAACGTAGCGAGACGCGAACCTGTAAGCAGATAGCCGTGTTTACTCTGCACCCGAAAGATGTGGAGACAGCACGTGGACTCAGACCCAAAGCGGAGAAGAGTTTACTGAAGCTCGTGGTAAGTGCGATACGCGGTCTTTCTTCGGCAACAACGACGCACGTTCTGACACAAGCCAAACTAACACCTCTTGCCTTCAGAGCGTGAACAGAAGAACCGAGACCCTTTGTGCACAGCTCCATCACACCGTAAGAACAAAACGTGTCTCTTACTCTGGACTGACTAACCGCTGACAACCACAATGCTGGATTAGCTTCCACCTACAAAGAAGAATATTAAAAACTTCCCTTTAGCTCTCGTGTTTACGAAAGGCCCATAGAAACGAACCTCCGACGGTGGTATAAGTATGGAATGATGACCGCTGTATATACTGCTCAAACACCAAAGAGCGAATCCTAATCCAGAATAGGGGTCCAAGCACAGAGCGATGTGCCTGGACGGATACAATTCGCACGCAAGTTTCATGGCACGGCAAAGAGACGTCACGGCTGCATGAGACATCTTAATTCCTGCAAGCATTCCCGTTGTCGAGACGCTAAAGTCTAGATAAGCCAGCATCTCAGCTGTGGGTGCTCGGTACATAACCGGCAGCTTCTTCTTTGGCATGTCGTCCATATCGAGAATCGTCGGCCAACTCTTAATGTCGACGACATTGTTCGCTTCCTGTATGGTGTATCACGAAAAACAATCGTTAGTAATTTAGGAAAATTACGATTTAACACTTTAACCGCATTAGCGAGTTCCAAGTACGATACACGTTATGCTCTTTAAGCGTTATTAACCTCTTGCCTTACTATTTCAGTTCCGATGGCACGTACACCATGATCAACATAACGGAGAACCGAGGCAGGAAAACATCGGGGAAAATTAACCACGAGTCTGACCCGTGTCGTTTACCTTTGGCCTTATCTACAAACCACGTCTCACGCCCGTGATATTCATGCTCAACCCGATTTTCCTGCCACGTGTCTTACTCGATATCGTAGGCCAAGGGGTTAAACAGATATTCGTCGGCTTCGTTAAACGAGGTGTAACAAATGGAAATCGATTAACGAGATACGTTGTTCGATCTCGGCAGTTAAAGGGTTAAAAAGGAAATACCGATTGTACTTTGTAAGAATTGTAAGAAACACGATGCATCGATGTACCTTCGTTTTCAACAGTTTCAGGATATTTTGATTCGTGAGCACGAGCACAGACTTACTGACGTCCACGATCATGCGAACGGTTGGTAAAGTGGTTTGGAGGTTTTGCGGATGAGGTGGCCTAATTGTGACTGGCACGGCGCCAACATAGAGGCAACCATAAAATGCACATATCAAGTCTGTACCAGGAGGAAATATTAATGCCACGTGGTCTCCGGTATTGATTCTTCCACGATCCAACAACAGATTCCCGATTCGCTCGGCTTTCTTGTGCAATTGCGAGCACGACAAGGAAGTTGCCACCGCTCCTTTCGCATTTAGCGACGTGAAGATCACATGATCGGAGGTACTGACAGCACGCCATCGAAGTATTTCCGAGATGAACTGATACTGAAAATCAGGATACGAAAGGTGAACGACAAAACGGGGATGAAAAGTTGCACAAAAGGAGAATGATAAATTTATCGAGTATTTATCCGTCTCGCATCTTGTACAATTCGAGTATGTATATATGTAGTTTTTATCATTCTTCTCTTTTTACAGAAACTCTATCAGAGCCAAACCTTTTTAGCGTTATCACTGTCCTCGTCCAAGACACCCATGTCTCGTCCTTGAGCCGAAGCCAGTCTATTACCCTGAACAATGTTGCCCACCATGACACTGGCCGGACCAACGTCTGCAACAGAATCCCCCGCTACACGCCCCCGCACCATTCCGTTAGTAAACCAACACAAACACTCAACCCAATAATGAGTAGCTCACACACTCTCCCCTGACTGAGGCCGGAATATCAAAGCTAGGTACGTGAACTGGTTCGTTATTGTCGAAAGGTGATTAACGCACGGTCCTTTATATAGGCGTGCTCTGAGCATTCCATAGACTGTACATACTTAATAAACAAAATAATTCGGTGCTTCTCCAAAACGTACGATGAAGTAGCGATGTGAAATTGGTCGAAAGCATTGGCGTAAAAAGTAGACTGATCGTGAAAGGCAAGTTGCTTTCAGTTAAACGTACGAGTCGAGGTATCGACAGATAGAATATAGACAACGAAGGAGAATCTCACATCGCTAGAAACGATTTGTATCTATAGGCTTGGACCACTACAGGGTGTTCGGAACTCAGCCAAAAGAAAGAAGGGCAAAAATAATAGAATAACATGCTAAGCATTAAATATTTTAGTACTGGGTGGGTTAACAATACATGATATGTAGCAAGAGACAGTTATATACTTTGTACATTTGTGCTAAGTTACTGAAGCCTACTGATGACTTTGTAAGAAAGCGTAAGTGTTACGTTCCTTCGCGTTAATGAGAATTTTTGAACAGAGCGAAATCCGTGATCGCGAATTAATTATAAAGAACTGCTCATTCATTCTCCCATTAATCATTCTCATGTACCTTTAAGCGAAACGATCCAACAAACTGGCAAACATCGCAACAACGCCGGTTTACATCGAACCATCGGGTTCCAAAGTTTCCACTGAATTTCCTACCAATTTCTTGGGTCTTCGCTTAAATTATAATACGCAAAGAAAAACGAAGTAATGTTACAACAAAAAAAGAGTGTATATACGTCTTTGTACTTGCTGACATTCATGTAATTCATTGAAAGTCCGTAATTTTAATCGACACCTGGTTCGGGGATAGTACTCACAGGTGAATGTGCAATCTCTTACCTGAATGGACTTCGCGTGGTTTCGGTAGATTGGTAACGCAAGTGTGTGGACAAAGAAGAACATTAGCCGGGTGTAGAGTACCCTCTAGGAAACGTCGCTTCGTTTCCGACAGATGAATACCGCCCAGCGGTGTTTTCGGAAGGTAATTCGGCGGGACCAACGCCAGACAGTATATCCCGACAGCGTGAATGGAGTCTACTGCCTGAAGGACGCGCGACATCCATTGGAAGCTCTGAGGAAATACATCTCGCGTGAACAAGGAGTTCGCTTATGGCTAGCAAGCGAGTACAGGATGATTTCGATAGTACTAGAAGGTGAGTAACGTACTTCCTCTTCGCTGCAATCGGGTCGTTGTTCAGCAACGACGCATATTCGTTCATCCCTGAGGACGCGTACACTGAAAACGGCTATTCTACCACGGTAAATGAACTTCATAGGTTCGACGGCTAACACCGTAGCGATAATATCGTCTGCGTTGTGCTTTCTTCCGGTGACTGTCATAAGACCGTCGCGTGATCCGCAAACGAAGACGAGACCACCAGGACCCAAGAAACCCAATAAACCAGAACGGGTGTATTCCACGTCACCGAGAGGACTTCCATCGGCTTGGAGCGGCGAAACTTTGAACGTATTGTTCGTGAGTCCTTGTAATCCCCAGTATTGGTTTCCAGTCGCCGAACTGTGCACACAGATCTCGCCTACTTCGTCGGTTTTGCAGATGAACGGTTGACCTTCCATTTTGATCACGACCACGATACCTGAGGAACAGAAACATCGGAAGTTTAATTCGTTTCGTTGACGCAGCGAGACAGAAAAGATGCAACGATAACGCTAGGAATGTGCGAACGGAAACCTACTTCCTGGCATAACTTGACCGCAATCCTGAAGCGTCAGCGAGGTGAGAGAGTTCTCTTGATCCACTCTGACAACTCCGTAGCTCAGCCCGGACATAGAGAGGACGCCTCGTCCAGTGGCGTTTACCCCGGCACGACCTGGTCTCCTGACAGACACGGTGAGAGCCTCGCTGGAAGATGCACACGGGCAAACAGCGTCGGGTCGGAGACCTTTCGACTGGAATACCGAGAGAAATTGGTCGCAGGATGAAAGAGACCAGGGATTGGCACCGTCCGCGACCAACAGCAACCTGAGCGACGACAGCGAGATATCCTTGTGATCTTTCGTGGCCAAGAGACCCCAGTGGAGGTCCCGCGATTTTACCACGGCCACGCTGGCGCGATGCTTGGTGATCATTTGCATCCAACTCGCGGGATTTACTTTCATCAGAGCGTAGGGAATAAAAATCACGTGCATCCCATTTAGAACGCTGGTTAGGGTGCTGTGCCACAGACCGACCTCTCGTTTGAAGTCCAAAACGCACACGGCGTTCTCTCCCTCCGTGTAGCCGCAGGCTTGCGTGAGAGCTCGACAATGTGCCAGCATCGCCGATCTTGTCACCGTCACTCCCATCACCGAGCCATCCTTGTCCGTGGTGTACTCGATGTAAGCCGGCGTGTCGTCGGTCAATCGAGGCGGTGGCAACCAATCTTTCGGCGTTTTGCCCAAATGCTCCGTGACGAACCAGTGAAGCTTCGGCCAACCCTTGAACGCCACCACCTCGCCGGCTGCTGTCTTTGGCAGACCTTTGAGACAAGCTTCGCTGGTCAATGCCACCTACAAAATCACTTGGATATTCGGCGAGTCGACGAAAACGGGAGACAGGAAACGGAAGGTTATAATTGGCGCTACTGAAATCACCTGAATTCCACAGCTACCCAAAAGAAAACCGATCTGCTGCGAGCCCGCGTCTCGGCGGGTGAGAGGGACCTCGATTGGCACAGGTACAATGCCAGCCTGAAGGCAACCATAGAAGGCGCACATGAAGCTTATCGGGTCGTTGTTTGGATAAACCAAGGCGATTCGATCGCCCGGTTTCAGACAGCAATCACCGCCACGGCTTAGAGCCTTGTTCAACAGCGTGTAGGCTATTTTGTGAGAACGACTTAGAAGTTTTCCATAGGTGAGAGTTACGCAAAGCTTGCCGTTTGGATCGAGAACGGTGGCCACCGGCGCTTTATACGACGCCGAACCATACCTACGGAACATTTGATAGAAAATTCTCGAGGGCACGGTATGAAATCATGAATGACCTAGCACAGGCAGAGGAAACCAAGGCGTGTATATAGGTAAGAGTGAGAGAGAAGGAGGAGGGGGAG